AAATGAACATTGTTGGGCCCTTGTTTGATACTGTTATTGGTGAGGGGAGCCCAGTAGGACTGGTTTGACTTCCACGTGCAGCAGCCAGCACAATGGCTGGGCTGAGACTGCGTCTCACCTCTTCGCATACCTGACTCGGCGAATTCAAAGGCAGCAGTGCCACTTGCAAGGCAGAGCAGGTGGCTTTGACGCACTGTAGCAGAAATGACCCGTGCCTTTACTGGCTTTTCTGAAGATTTTAATAACACCAGAGAAAAAGTGTTCCTTTTGTTCCAATTATATTTCTAAGCTTTGTAAACTAAACTGTTTCCTGTGATATACTGTAGGTCAACTTTTGCGAGGTATTAATTTGAATTGGTCTGTGAGGTCTAAGAAAAGTGAGCCTTTTGTCACAAGGCTTATTTCAGCTATACTTAGCTCTTTGTTTCAACTGGAAATTCTTAGGGGTCTGCAAATCAGAAAGGTCAGCAACTGTAGTATTAGAAACACTGATAGATAGTGCATGAAAATGAGACCTAACCTCTAAAATGAAAACTGACCTCTAAAATGAGAAATGAATCTCCATTACCCTTGAACAACACCCTGATGGCATCTCTAAATCCCTCTAATTTTGTACAGTGTACTTTGTGTGCATCTCTTTAACTAGCACAGAGAGGGAGTCCTTTTAAGGTGAATTCTTTAGAAAGCACACATCATTGACTCCAGTGTAAATTTTAACAATGGCTTTGGTGTCAGCAAAGGTAGGTGAATACTAACTGCTTCTGAAGCTCTTGTCTTCAGCGGTGTTCTGCAGGAACGCTGCCTTGCTCTTTGTTAGCAGTTACAGATTTTAAGGTCTCTCGCATTCTCAGAACACAGGAGGGAGAGTCAGTTCCCGTCTGCTCCCAGCCCTCCACGAACACGGCTTGTGGGCCTTGGCAAACCGTGCAACCTCTACGTGCTTTTCTTTACTCAGGTGGTAGGTAGTCCCCGGGAGTCCAGTTGGGTTGGTTTTAATAGCGAAATTTTACCGAGTTCAGAAAGACACACACGCAGGAGCACTCGTGGCAAGCGTCACTGCTTTGTTCCAAAGACAAACCTGATGTTAGCAACTTTCTTCTGCTTACTGTTGCCTGTTGTCCACTTTGCTCATAGTTTGTCCTCCTGATTCCAGCTTTTGGTAGGAGCAGCTTAGAGCTGGTAGTTGAGCTGCAGAGTGCTGGACGTGGTTGCACTTTGTTGCAGGTAGGCAGTTGTGTTCATTTACGTGGGAGACTGAGCTTAGGTTTTTGAAGTTCAGGGAAGATGCGAAGATGTGAAGGAGGGAAAGCAAAAAAGGTTATGTTTCAAATCAAAGCCTTTTGATGCTGAAATTGCCTGACTCAAACTCTGTCTTCACACATCAGGGCTTAATGCTGATAGTGATTTACTTACACTTCCTAGTTAATAATTAGACATTGGGAGACACCATATATCACTCCTAATGGAATATATGGGGTCTGATGAGAGTTTTCTGTTTTGACTAATAAATTTTAACCAGAATCACCAAGCTTAATGAAATATTACAGCTTCGGAAGTGTTTTAAGTCTTGTGCTGTGAAAACAGTGTTGCTTTATTCAGTAAATGAATTTATCATTCATTCTGTATCCTGAGCCCTAGCTGGCTCTGGAGCATGGGCTGAATGCAAGACTCTGAACTAGAAAGCGGAAAAACTAATCAAATCCTTAAAGACCAAAGGCAGCGAGGCAGGTCTAGACTGACTTTTTCAGTGGTAGCCTCTGGCTACATCCACTTTTATTTTAGTAACCATTGTTAGCATGATTTATAACTTTAGCTTTAAGACACACACTATTTAGACGTAATAAGATGCTTCGCAGCTTTTACTTTTATTTCCTAATTTCCCTCTTGTCCCTGCTTTTTTTTACTTCCCCCTCATCTTTGTCTCCCTCTCCTCTCCCCACCAGCGTCCCCAATCCTGCGGCTGACGCTGTATTGAAAGAACATCTCCCTGTCAGCCCCAAGGTCAACAAAACCGTCTCTGCCTCAACTAATGGCTGATCGGCTGGTGGCCTAGTTAGTGCAGAGGAGGCGGCTGTGTGCAGGGTTTGGTCTCCTACTGCTGCACAAAGGTTTTCCCTGCTAATTCTGGTGAGAGGATCCTCCGTACACAGAGGAGAGGACATGCCCCCCAGTAAATAATGGGATCCCTGCTGTCACCCTGCTAAGTGGCACACAGTTCAACTCCCTGCCCTTCGCAGCCGTCACGGGAAGCGCTGCCTTGCCAAAAGGAGAGCGATCCTGTCCAACAAGGTCCTGCCCACTTCCCGGGTGCAGCATTAGGAGCCTGCCCCCCAAAATGCATCTCTTTCTAACCAGCGCGGACACAGCTGTAAGACCTTGGTGGCACTCCTTAGTCTGCCAGGCTGTGGATTTGGGGTGCCACCAGGAAGAGCTGCTTAGTTCTCTTAAGAGTGCAGGACATCTGTGCATTACTGTGTTCTTGTGCCTTAGCCTCTGCCGTCGCTACTCAGCAGTTTTTTCCGTGCATCGTGCCAAGGAAGCAAGATAAGAGGAGACAGTAAACACACCTCATTGCCAGTACAGGAAGAAACCACTAAAACCTTGCTGCACCATTTCTCGCTGCTGTTAAAACCCTCCCTCCCACCTTGCTTTTGACAGAATATTGACTAGAAACCAAGATCCCATTTCTGCTTAGCCTTAAGGGCAGCTGTTTGCAGAGTGGCGGTGTTACATAGGTTTACTGTGTCGTATGTCTGTGTAACACTGGATTTGGATCTTGTATTTAGCTGCCAGAAGTGACTGTGATGAAGTGGGAGAGATAAACTGATAGATTGTGTGCCAGAAAGATGTTGGGAATCAATCAGATAAACAGGGCAGAGAAGTAGCTTGCTGTTTTCTAGTGATAATAAACCAGTGGCCTCTCTTCCTGGGATTTTTAAATGTAATTGCTGCAGTAATAATCTCCAGAAATAAGCAAATAGAAAAAAAGTCATGGCAGGTTCTTAATTATGCTCAAATCACTCTTTTTTTTTTGGTAATATGATGTATGCCTTAAAGGAGAGAAAAGATGTGGACAGGCATAAATACTATCTCTGTTGCTTGAATGTCTCCTATTTGAAAATAAAAAAGGGTCATAAAATAATACCTATCTACCTTTATGGCATTTTTCTTTTGTGGGGTACACGCCTTTCCCCCGCTCCCCACACACTCCAGTAGTGTAGCTGAGTGATCAGGAACTATGGGGGTCAGGGAGTTCTCACGTAGCACTGTGCCCGGACAGCTTCTGGTGTCGGCTGCGCTCGGTGGGGCAGCGTTGGTGCCTGGGAAGCCGGCTGAGGGCCGGCTGTGCTGAGCACAGCGGTAGTCAGGGGCTAAGCCGTGCTCGCAGGGGCTAAGCTGTGCTCGCAAATGCCGCCGTCTCGCTTGAGCTGGTGTGGGGGGATGTGGAGCTTCTTTCTTGTCCCCCTGCCTTGTCTGTGCGTGCTGTCTGGGGCCAGGTCTGTGGCTGCTCCCCGAGCCCTGCTTTCCGTGACGGCTACTGTACCTTGATTGACCATTGCAGTCCTCTCGCCTACTTCAGTAGAGGGTGGAGGAAAAGCATCTTTCATCCTTTCATCTCTAGCATCTTTGTGGGTTTGCCTGGACTCTCTGGTTTCCAGGTGGTCTGTTTTGGGTCCTTTCTGAGCTGAGGCAGTAACTTCACTAGTCAGTGAAATGTCGGCATTTAGAAAGCAGTTTGTGCCCCTCAGTTTTGGAGGGTTTTTTTCTGTTCTTTGTGTTAATATGTTGGCTAATACCCAAGGCACAGCACATACGATTTACAGTGAGCGGTGATAAACACATAGCACCAGTCAAGTATCCAAAAAGGCTGTTCACAATATTCTTTGGCTGCAGGAAGCAAAAAGGACAAAACCCAACCCTCAGGACATGAAAAGAAATAGAAAAGCCTGCTTGAGCATTCCTGAATTTTGCTGTGCTGTTCCTCAGAGCGAGCATTACTGCCCAGCAATGGTTGACTTCTGTTTGGTGAAGTGTTTTGGTTCCCCCCTACCCTCCCCACTTGAAGTGTGGGGCAAGACCTGTGGGGCAGAGGTCTTACTGCAGATCTGCCTGCATTACATCTCTTGCCCACGGGAGTTGTGTACACAACAGCTTGTGAACGGTCAGGCCGTTTTTATCCTTCCAAAGCCCAAGGAGCGGCACTAGCCTCTGAAATACAAGCAGAGTTCTTCATTCTGCCCCTCTGGGTGAGAAACGACCATCTCATGTCAGGCTCAGCTGCTCACATCCCCCCAAGCTTGTCACCCATTTGCCCTCTGTGGGATTGTACACTTTGCTCCGGGCTCCTGGGACCAGCGGTTACCGAACGGTTGGCCCAGCTGACAATCCCAGCAGGGTCTTTGCAGTGCCCCCAGGGATTCCAGTTCTTTGCCATCACTTAGACTCGAGATTATTAGTTTGCTTTGCCCATGTGAGGCTTCTTGTGCTTGGACCGCAGTGCTACTAAATTGTGCCCCTCTGGCTCTGCATAACCTTTTAGATTCTCTTCAGATGAATGACATGATGTTATGTGTCACCTAAATAAACCGTGATGGGTTGAAGGGAAGACTGTACTACTCCTAGATCCATTTGAATTTATATACAAAACCTCTTTGTAGTGGCCTTCAGCGTTATGTTCCAGTCACATATTCTATGGGTACCTTTTTGGAAGAGGGCGATCGTCTACAGTTACTTAAACTTTTAGCATAGGGTTTTGCTTCCTTGCTTGAACCCTTTCAGAGCCATCAGCTTTTTCCCTTGGGAAAACTCTTGTCGAGAGGAGATGATAAAAAGCCATGGTTCTTGGCTTGGAGTTTTCTAGGAAGTTTCAGACATGCGGCATACAGGTTCCCTTGGGATCTTGGCAACTAATTTCTTAAGTCTTCTGAGAAACCTGTGAGCCTGTTTGCATTACCGTGTCTTTACTGTGCTTTTAAATGGGATTGTTGTCTGTCTTCTAGCTCCTTCGAGAACTTATAGAACGTAAAACCACTTCATTGGACCCCAATGACCAGGTAGCCATGGGCAGGTAAGTAGGAAGTTGTCTGTAACATCACTAACTTCAGCCCAGCACTGCATCCCAGTCCAGAAGTGCAAAACTACTTGTGGGCTTCCAGTCCACTTCACTGTAGAGGGTAAAATTTTGAATGACTCTGGAGAAAGCATCTGGGTATAAGAAGGTGTGTAACAAATTATTAAAACGGTGTGACATTAGTCAAGAAAGCCATCCTCTGTAACATACTCCTTACTTACGGATCACATTGGCTGAAGTGCAAGTTTGCCAGCCTTTGAGCTGTACCCTGGTTTGTCTGTGATGCCCTGAAGATACTTTCCAGTAGTAAAAGGCTAGTTCCAGACGTTGGATATTTCTAGCTCTCAGTAGTTCATGCAGCACAAAGGGAGTCCATAGAGGGGTGTCTTAGCTGACCCTAGTGAGGGGGAGCTAAGCAAAGTGACTGCCCGCTGCTGAAATTTGGCCTTTTCTCATTTTGAGCTCTGATTTGTCATTGTTTTACAGGAGCAAACCTTCTGTTGTGAGATCAGTTAAAGCAATTCCTGTGTATGCTCTCTCCCTGCTGTAAGAAAAGATACTAAACTATTAATATCAGGGAATGTTTCCTACATGCAGAAGTAAAATATAATTCCATGCAGGGAAGCTCTTATTTCTGTTTAATTCTATGGTTAGAAAATAAAGAATGTTCCAAATACCACTTAATGAACAGTGTACATTTAAATGGCCATGGGCTATAATTTAGGAAAGTGTAAAAGCAGAGGAAGGCTGAAAATGCTGGAATAGGGCGCTCCACTAGAAATAGTGCTATGGGGGGGTGTGTGTGTGTGTGTGTGTGTATGGGGAGGGTAAGAAAATGCAGTAGGAAATTTTGTGATGATGAAATAACTTTTATCCTTGTAAAATATTACCCAAATTTTAGTACAATGTGTCAAATTTATTTTGTGTATGTCTGGAATATTATGGAAAGCTATTCACTATAATTTAACATGATATAGACAAAATTACATTTAAGTGGTGATTACATTGTACATTTATCTGACTTTACAATAAAATAGATTACAGTAATTAAGATTATATTAAGATTGTAGTAATTGGATTTTGCTAGATTTTTTTCCCTGATGTCAAGTTTTCATTGTATAAATCAGGTAAGATGACGCTCGTTTTTGTAAAAAAAAATATTTATAACTAGTAGAAGTTTTCCCCTGCTGAAAACTTCTTTGACTTGATTAAGTTCTGTTTGAGGAGATGAGTCCTCCCTTCTAAATAATACAGGCGGGGATCAGACAGCACTTTCTGAAAGTGTTTATTACTTTTTCTTTTGTAGTTTTGTGTAGTAAGAGTTGGAGCATTATATAGGGCTTCTTGCTAGATTTTCCAGGTTAGACAGTCAGAGGTGGTAGGGAGAAATACTTATCATTTTCAACATACTTTGCAAAACTGAGGAAGAAATAAATTCAGAGCATCTGTTGCATCATGGTAATTCTGTTCATGAAGTTAGCATAACCTATCTCACTCAGAGAATCAGTTTAGGATGTGGCAGACCATCTATTCTGTTATGGGCTTTCTGTATGCAAACCAGAAGTCATTCTAGTAATCAAGGCCGAAACAAAAAAGCAGTACCTGTAAAGACTTTTTTTTACAGATTTTAGCATTTGTATTTTGTAAAGATTTGATTTTTAATTCTAAAGAGTCTTAAAAATATTCAGTGATCAAGAAAGAATGTAAAATGGAGCCAAGCTTGTGGCCTCCATGGGTTTCCCTGCAGGTAGAATATTCTCACTGAACAGGGATCAGCAGGTCTGGCCTGCGTCTCCCATTGTGGCTGGGGGCCGGGACAACCTTATTGTTCAAATGCCATGTCCATGGAGTGAAGCAGCACCACGGGCATTTCTAGTTTCATACTTGTTTTCCTGAGGTTCTGATCTCCTTCACTTCTGTAAAGGCAATAGGTAGAAGGGCTGGGAAGGGCCTCAGACCCCGGTGTCCCTAATGCTTATTTTCCTTGTGGCTCTAAAAGTTGTGCATCTCATTTTGCACCCCTCAGGCAATGGCTGGCCATCCAGAAGTTACGAAGCAAAATAAAGAAGAAAGTGGACAGAAAAGCCAGTAAAGGAAGGAGAATCCGGTGGGTGACAGCTTCTGCAAGCAAACAGAAGTTCTGATTTTGCCAAATAAAGTCTGACTGTGCTGGGGTGGCTCTGGGGTGTGTTGGTAGGTTTATTCATGCCTTTTAGGGCAAGATGTCTTGCTCTGGGGCAACCACTGGGGAATCTTAATGTTCTTTGAGCCTAGAATAAGGGCTTGGTTGGATGCAGCCTGTGAGCATTGCCCAGATCAGTCTTGGGAAGAGTGTTTGTTGGCCTCAGAAAACACTGGAGAGAGGTGTTCCGATGTCCCTAGGCGATTTGGGGCTGTAATTTCCACTGAAAGCCAATAAACACCTCTTGTGCAATATATATTTAGCTAACTAAAACGTGGCTAGCAGCTCTAGC